AAAGACTACCACAGAAGTCATGAGGCTGAGAGAGTGTCATAAGTGGCCAGTGGGAGGAGATATCACCCATACCAAGGGACCTGTAAGTCAGAGATCCTCAGCAACAGGGCATCTTCCAGAAACCCAGGGAGTTGTCCCAGAAGACAATGTCCAAACCCCGATATGTAAAGAGACTTAGAGAGATTCAAAGACATTAAGTAATTTTCTGAATATCAAGCGGCTAATAAATGGCATGTGGTGTCTATGTACTGTTTGGATTTGGGTAAGCTAAAACTACATTTCCCAGAATCCTTCCCTGCGTGCTTCCAGATTAGAGTTGGCCGAAGATTAATTTGTGAATAATTTGGAAGGCAGAGAAGTGCAGCAGTAGCAATTACTCTCTGAAGGTTGTCATGGTTCGAAGTGCCAGCAGGTCCCAGGCTATACTCATGTTTCCTCACTCCAAATCAAGTTTTCTTAGCAACTCCCAGCCCTTCTGACCAATAAACAAACCCAGGCCAACCCCAAGATGCAGAGGTAACAGCCTTCCATAAACACTTCTCCACTGAGTCTCCAGGATCCTGCCCTAACAATTGGACATGCCACCTGGCTATGTTGAGTTTGATTTTCAGAAATCTCAATCCTGCAACTATAGGAAATAGTTGTGATTTGTCATTGTGTATGGGTGTGTACATGGGTACAGAAGCTACTGGACTCAGATGGTTGTAAACATTGTATTTGGAACAGACATGTAGACTGGGCATAAGGAGGACCAGACAACTGCCTTTCAAGCCTTACATGAGGAAACATGTAAGGCTTGTTTTTTCGTTTTTTTGTTTGTTTTTGTGTGTGTGTGTGTGTTTTTTTTTTTTAAGGCAATCAAAGAACAATCCTGCTCCCTTACCGAGGCCTTGAGCTGGGTATTTAAAGCCCTGAGCTCAAATTGTCTTTCTCTAAGTTCTTGAGTGCATTTGGAAGCAACCAACTAACCCCGCTGTACTCTTTATTTCCATTAAATTGTTTAATGGCAGCAACTACTTGGTCACCCAAAGCCAAGTGGCAATCTCTACTTCCATTTTAATAGAATCATTCTTGTGTCCCCTAGTGGAGACATTCTTTTCTTGGAGACTCTAAACCAGCAGTGCCCCAAAGTGTTAGGAATGAGAAATAGCATTTTGCTAGTGAATCATTAGGGATAGGACTGAAAAGAGCTACTCTCATTTCCACTCCATATTGGGTCACTAACACATGCAATGAGGGCTATTATGGTGATAAATGTTAAGTGGAAACCTCTAGAAATGGCCTGTACCTACCAAAATGCTAAGACCAAGGCAATATCATTCCTGGAGGGACTGCAGAGATCAGTGTCACCATCAGCGCTTGAAGGATACGGTAGTGATGATTCCCACCATATTTTCTTTCAACTTGCCTATTTGTGTAGAATACAGATGAATCCTGGAGAATGACGGTGGATTACCATAAACTATCGGGCTGACTCCAATTTCAGATCCTGTTCCAGACATGGTTTCTTTCCTGGAACAGAGACATCCCTTGGCATCTGGAATGCAGCTATTGATATGGCAAATGCGCGCGCGCGCGCGCACACACACACACACACACACACACCCCTGTTGGTAAAGCTCTCGAGAAGCAATCTACTTTCAACTGGCAGGGCAGGGTCAGCAAAACACCTTCAAGAGCAGGAAGTAACAAGTACTCTAGGTAGTTTGGTAAGACACATGTATGCCAGATGGTGGGAAATCAGTCCCACAGCAATTAGGGAGCTTGCCACCCTGGTAAATTTTCTAGGGGCCCAGCGACCTGAGGCATGTCAAAATATCCCTGTAGGGTGAAAGCAGTTTGCTGCCTCTGGCTTCTCCTACCAGTAAAAATAAGGGACTCTCTGGATTTTGAAAATAAAATATCCTTCATTTGGGCATGCTGCTCTAATCCATCAAAAAAAAGTCAAAAGTCTGAGTAATCCAGAATAAAAGAAAGCTATGCAATAAGATTATGCTGCTGTGCAAAGTTATCTGCCCCTTGGGCCATACAAACTGTCACATCCAATGGTTCTTCAAGTATCTGGCCACTGTAGGAGCCACAGACACTGCATGGAGCCTTTCGCAGCCCTGAAGATGGATCACAGAGCAAACCGTTAGGATTTTGGATCAACTACCTGAAGGTGAAAAGTACTACTGCTCCATTAAGAAGGGACTGCTCCACTCAGGACAAAGTATAGTGGCAAAGAAAATTCTTCCTAATGTGCAGAATTTTGAGCAGTACACATGGTTGCTCATTTTGCCTGGAAGGAGAGATGGCTTAAGATATTCACTGAAAAAAAGGGTGTATATGCTGTGGCTAACGATGTGCCCTGATGTTCAGGGTATTAGAGGAAACACATTTGGAAAATCGGTGATAAGGAAGTCTGGGGAAGAGGAATGTGGATGAACCATTCTAAACTGATACTAAGTGTGAAAAGATTCATCTCCTACATGAATTTTCACCAAAACACAACCTTTTTAGAGCAGGATCTTAATGGTCAGGATACCAAGGTGTCACATCCTTTCTCCATTTTCTCCAGTCATTCCTGTCTTTGCCCAATGGCTCATGGAGGCAAAAACACAAGTTATGCGTGGCTCAGCACTAGAGTCTGCTATGGGTCAAGTCTGCCATGGTTATAGCCAACAGCAGAGACCTACAGTGAACCCCCAATATGGCACTATTCCCCAGGGTGAACAGCCAGCCCCTTGGTGACAGGTCGATTATACTGGAACACTTCCATCTGGAAAGGGCAATCCTTCCCACTAGTAGATACTTACTCTGGACATGAATTTTTCTTCCCTGTCCACATGCTTCTGCCAACACCACCATCTATGGACTTACAGAATATCTTATTCATTGTCATAGCTTCTGACCAGGTACTCATTTCACAGCACGTGAAGTATGGTTATGGGCTCACGAACATAGAATTCAGAGATCTTAAAATGTACCCGATCACCTTGAAGTAAATGGCCTGAGAGGATGGTAGAATGATCAGGTTTTACACTAGCTGAGTGCCAACATTTGGCAGGGCTTGGGCAATGTCCTCCAGGATGCCGTATGTGCCCTGGATCAGTGTGACCTGTAATGCATGGTGCAGAGGTAAAATGGAAATGGCTTCTGTCATCGTTACTCCTAGTGATCCGCTAAGGAAATTTTTACTTCCCAGACCCACAACTCTGGGTTCTCCTGGTTTAGAAAACAATTTATCTGCCTATATTAATTATATGTACATAAAATATGTTATTAGAGATATCTCTCAGTGACTGTATTAGGTGAAGTGTTTGCTGAAAGCAAAGAGAATACAGAATGAATGGTAGAGAAGGAAGTTAATATCAGCTTTAAGCACATGACCAGTTATAGAAACGAACACTGTAGTAGTTAGAACTATTTCTTCCTTACATTAA